CCAGCAAAAAAGATAACATCAAAACCAGTATTCAACTAGAGACACACTTGCAGCCCTTACCATTAGGGCAAAAGGCCTTATCTCCATTGTCTTCCCTGCAACTCATGTTGACTTTTAGCAATTAGACCAAGGGAGAGATCTTCCACCTATGCTGTTTTGTCTGTGGTCCTATAGAGACCCCAGCTACTCACCCTGGCTGTCCAATGCATGGTCCCAGGGTACCACAGTGACCTCCGCCCCACGCTGGCACAAGCACCGGATCTGATTATACTTGAGGCCACAGTCCAAAGCAAGGATCCGAGGGGTACCCCCCACATTGAATACCCGTGGAGCCTGAGAAATAAAAGGCAACGGTTGGTGGCTGTGATCAGTGGGTACAGATATGCGCACACCAACCCCCTAACTATGAGGCCTCTTCTGATTCTCCCTTAAGTGCTCTCCCCAGTTATGGACAGACTGTAACTACTGTGCTATAGCTTGCAACACTCTCCCACTCTACCTCTGTACCTTAATGGAGACCTCCGGCACCAGAGGGCGGGCATTGGGGTCCAAGAATGGCAGGGCTGAAGGATCTGTCCCATCCTGGACCAGCTTTCCCAGCAGAGACCCTTGCTCTCGCAACTTCTTAGTCAGCTCCCGAGTGTCCACTCCTGTCAAAGCAGCACATGCTGAGAGATCACACTCCCCCTACTCAGTCGTGCATGAGGTTAAGACTTCCAGAAGAACTTCCATCCCAGAGCCCTGAGTCACACACAGCTGTTCCACGGGCATCAAAATCCTAAGCCATCCTGATGAAAATACACTACACCATCAAGTATTCTTGCCAAAAATATCAGATCTGAATTATACCATGATTCCAGATCTATTTGTTTACAGAAAATGATATCAAGACTTATCTGTTTACAAAAAAAGAACATGCTAAATGACACTACAGGAATGTAATCAACAAAATGCAGACTGTGGGATACTCCAAAGAAAAACTGACCTGTTATTATCAAATAGGTTACAAAGCCCATAGACTAAAAAGATATAGCCAAAAGCAATGTATGGATCTTGTTCAGATCTAGATTCAAATAAACAAATCACACAAACAAAAAAATTTGGTAACTGGGAACATTTTAAACTTTGCCTGGATATTTGATATTAAGGAATTATTGTTAATTTTTGAAATTTTTGATGTTATCGTGTCATGTTTTAAAAGGATTATTTTTTCATAGATATTTAACTATTTATGGATGAAATCATACAATGTCTGAGATTTGCTTCAAAACAATCTGGGGGTTACAGTACTGGTGATAAAATAAGTTTAGCCCTGAGTTGGTGGCTATACAAACTGGGGGTTCATTATATACTATTCTCTCCTTTTGTATGTTGGAACTTTTCCATCTGAGCAAGAGCTCAAGTTCCTTGCCCCAGACCCCAACCTAAACCTTCAAATCAGATTCCTTCTATCACCTTGGACTCCAGTCCCAATAGTGCTCAGAGATCTCTTGATTCTTTCCACCCAAGCACCTGTGCTCTGCCCAAACACATTTGTGCTTGCACCATACCTTGCAGGCCAGGTATGCCATGCTGCTGCAGCCACTCGTGCAGGGTGCAGATGGAACTCCAGTGGCTGGGCGTGGGGCAGCACTCACCTACCACCAGACCTGCCACATGGATCCCCGAGGATTCAAACCACTGTTGATGGAAGGAAGAGATCATGAGGAGCTCAGGGCCATACGCCTTCCTATGTCATCTCTTCCCCTTGTATGGCATGAACCCTGTACTTCAGCCACACTGAGTGACCTGTCATTCCTTAAACACACCAAGCATCTCATGCTTCTGCCCTTTATCAACAGTGCTGCCCCCCATATGAAATACTGAACACATGGGCCCAGGGTGCCTGATTAATAATTGAAAATGACATTTTCCTTTTTCCTTCCTTTTCCTTTATCCAAAACTGAGATCACAAATCCCCTCTTCTGTGAAGCTACCCCCACTCGCCCACTGCAGCTTGTGCCTCCTCCTTAGAGCTCACCTAAGCTCACTTCATTTCCACTGTTCTTGCTATTTACATGGTAATATGAATGTGTTTGTGTCTTCTTCACAGAACTGTGAACTCCTCAAGAGCAAGGTGACTAATACATGGTAGCAGCCAATAAACATTTACTGAGTGCTGGGGGAAGAACAGAGAGCATGAAAAAAGACAAGGTCCCTATCAGTCACAACATTAATTTGTTACTTAGGGAGCATGAAAATTAACAAGGTAACACGTAAATAAACAAGATGGTAATTACAGAGTGTGATAAAAACAGTGTGAAACAGGTAGATGCACAGTATCTTACTAAATAAAAATAAAGGTTCAGGGAATAATACTACACATGATTATACCCTCCTCCTTCATAGGGAATTATATTTTTAAAAAGATAACACAAATTTGTTATCCAACGTATAAGCACTTAGTAACTAAACAGGTCATTTATGAGGGAGGGAGTAAACATATTCAAATTACATCTGCTTAATGAAAGATTTAAAGAAAGATAGATATTGAGATTGTTATTTAGGGATTTGAAGGATAGTTTGGCAGAACCCTGTGTCCAGGAAGACTAGTCTACACATGAACAAGTGTGTTCATAACACATGTGCCACAAAAGCATCTGTGGTGATCTGGTGGCTCTAGGAGACCTTACCCTGATTCTGTCAGGGCCTCAATTTTGCAGGTTTATAAAATCAATTTTTTCAGTGTGTTTACAGTTGACAAAGCTGAAGACTGACATGTTAAGCAATATACCGCATTATAAACCACAATGCAGTGTATTAATAGGTTTGTGATGAGGAATGGTCCTGTCGAGAAATAACAAGTATGTCCCTTACCTATAGTTCCCTTTCCCAAGTGGAAGGCAAATTAAGAATTAAGGCTCAGTAAGCCTAAATCACAACAAAACAAATTTGAGAAATACTGCAACTAGGCTATGGTGACTTCTCCTATTAACTTGTTCATTTTTTTATTACTTGAACTCTCAGAGGGCAACTTAATATACAAATTCCAGAGGAGGAGGAATAGGGGAACCTCATTGTGGGAAGAAGCTGAATTTTCTTATCTAGATGTAAGAACTCTACTGAAAAGTGGTAGAAAATGAGGCAAGGTAAGGAAAGTAGGTTTAGAAAGTGATAATCAACTTCATTGGTTTGGTAGCTGAACTGGGACCCACTGTCACTGGAAAGGGTGTGACCCTAGTTTATAGTCTCTTTCCCACTAACCTATTTACTCTGAAAGCATTGCTCCCATCATCACAGGACTCTACTGCTAAAAAAATCTTCACTGGTTCCCTGTTTTGGTTGTGTATTTTTTTTCATTTCACTGGTTCCTTACCAAAGCCCAGATTCTGGCTTGGCCTCCAGCACTGCGCTTCTCAAGGTACTTAAGCCCTGCATAGTACTTGTTTTATCACTTCGGTATGTATCTTTGTTCTCTCCAGGATGCCTAGAAGAATGTCAATGTCTTCACTTCACTAAGTTAATAATTACTGATTTGAAAAGGAATTCAGAGAAAGCATTGGATGTGGCTACCTTGCTGAGACCGAACTCATCCACTTCATCTGGTGGGATGCCATAGTTGCCGATCAAAGGATATGTCAGCACTAAGATCTGTGCTTTGTAGGAAGGGTCTGTGAGGGCCTCGGGGTAGCCGACCATACCGGTTTGAAACACTGCAAGAGAGAGGCAGGGCTGGGGTTCAGGCCGGGCCTGCTTCGGAACACTGCCCCACTCGATGGGAATGCCCCAGTGGAGGCTGCCTCGACTGTGAGATGAAAGGGGCTAAGCTGGGGACTTAGGCGGGGTGTAGAGGCGGGGGTGCAGGCGGGAAAATGGCGGGGTCTGGACAGGGCAGGCTGGGCACAGAAGGGCAGCAAAGAGTGGGATGAGGTCGGCAGCCGGACCAGGCTTGCTTACCCACTTCTCCGGCAGTCGACACAGCGGCCCCAAAGGGCTGGCCCCGCAGAACCAACCCATCCTCCAACACCAGGGTCGCCATGGGAACGGAGCTTAGAGACGTGGGCAAACTGAGACGCTGGAAGCACAGCAAGTTTCCACCTGTGCTGGAACCACGTGAGGACTGCGAGCCCAGAGTCGGTACACGTGGCTAGCGGCGCGGATGCCCGGAGCAAGTGCGCGGC